GAGATTTGGAACTTGGGAGATTTGGAACTTGGGAGATTTGGAACTTGGGAGATTTGGAACTTGGGAGATTTGGAACTTGGGAGATTTGGAACTTGGGAGATTTGGAACTTGGGAGATTTGGAACTTGGGAGATTTGGAACTTGGGAGATTTGGAACTTGGGAGATTTGGAACTTGGGAGATTTGGAACTTGGGAGATTTGGAACTTGGGAGATTTGGAACTTGGGAGATTTGGAACTTGGGAGATTTGGAACTTGGGAGATTTGGAACTTGGGAGATTTGGAACTTGGGAGATTTGGAACTTGGGAGATTTGGAACTTGGGAGATTTGGAACTTGGGAGATTTGGAACTTGGGAGATTTGGAACTTGGGAGATTTGGAACTTGGGAGATTTGGAACTTGGGAGATTTGGAACTTGGGAGATTTGGAACTTGGGAGATTTGGAACTTGGGAGATTTGGAACTTGGGAGATTGGAAACTTGGGAATTTCGGAATTTGGGAAATTGGGAAATTGGGAAATTTGGAATTTTTATAAGTTGAGTATTTAGGTATTTGGGAACTGAGATATTTGGATCTTTGAAAATTTAGAAATCTGAGAATTTGAGAATTCCTAAACTTAGAAAGACCCTATTCTACAATTCCCAAGCTGTCGCCTCAACATAATTCTCTTCACAAAAACACTTCTCAGTACGTACCGTACTTGTCAAAGCTTTCTATACACCTGACAAAGCCACATCGGAATTCGTATTTTTTTCCTCACAATCTACCGATTATTGCATAACCGTACAGTGTATACACGACTTTTCCCAGGAGGAATCACGGATGCAATAAGGAAGGCAAAATGTATTCGTGACGAGAAAGGGAAGATTTATGGTGTCCTATTAGCCCGTCTTGCGGAACCAGTTTGGTTCCGTGACAAAATGTCCTCGCATATCCTAGAAAAACACGTGTTCGTTTTGTGCATTAAAATATTCAGTACCTAAATTGCAAATGCTCACCGGATACCCATGAAATCGTTTATTAATTGATCATTAATTATCGGAAGATATCGGCGATTCAATAATGTCGCGATATGATTAATAATCCTGTCTCGTATAAATTATAACATATGTTCGAGAAAAATTCGTGCAAATAAATCAAAGAGTACGAAGTGTCGATTTGTTCTTATCGTAACCGCAACCTGTCTGGTATGATCGAACTAGAATTATGTTTGCACAGTCGATTGCAGCGGTCGGAACGGAAAATGGTCTCCATGGTTTTCGAATCTCATGAAACTGTACGGTTAAATTGCCCACGGCTTGTTTTGCATAGTAAGTGCAATCGCAGAGCATTATACTATGCAAATCGACATCGATCTGATCGCATCTATTATTGTACTGCAATCCAGAAACTTGGACACTGTGGGTTTCGTTACGAAACATTCCTTCAGTGAAATCGGAGTAAATCGAACTCCTGCACATGTTTCAAATTAATGTAATTTGCAACACGAGTGCATTTTATAATTAAATATCTCGAGTACAAAATGAAGAGCTAGAGGAACAGGTAATTGGCATTGGGGCTGTAAATCAAATTCGATTTACATTGATATTTTGTTCATTTTCTGGAGTCGTGAGTGATCGATGAGTGTATTACAGAAGGTGGTAACATGAAGCTGATATAAATTATTTAATCTCTGTAAACTAGTCAAAAATTCAATTTGCAATTATAATTCATCTTCTCCACATCTAATTTTGTAATGCATCTCCTATTAAGGATCCAAAGATTTGAAGTTTGAGAAGTTTGGTATTTGTAAAGGTGGAAATCTGAAAATTTGTAAACATAGAAATCTGTAAATTAAAAAATGTGGAGCTACATAAAAATCTAAAAAGTCAGAAAACTTGGTCATTCATAAAATTCCATAATTTGAAAATTAGATAATTTAAAAATTTGAAGCATAAAGACTTGAACATACGAAAATATGTATCATGCCATACGAGTGTACCGAATACCACCGTCATGTGAAAGCATAAATTCATCGATGCCCTTTCGATGTCGGTTAACAACGTTTACCATTCGATATGTAACTCTCCATTACCATTACGTGGGAAGGCGTGTTTACACGGTGTGAGAGGCGTCGCGGCTTCGGACGGACCAATCGATGATTTCTTGAGAGTCATTAACTCATATAACGAATGATACTGGGAGCGGCAACAGATCATTGATACCGCCATTCTATCATAGATGTTTGTGAACCGAAGGAATTGTGGGCGCGGATTTGATACTGCCACGATCTCGAAACCAATGGACAGCTGTCTGTCCGATTTTACGCTTTGCTACGATAGTAATCTACCTCTACGCGACTGTTTCTGTTCTACGTTTTTATTTCAATCGAACGCCACGAAATTATCTGTTGACTTAGTGCAACCAATTCCTAGTCAATCTCTGGTTAATTGAAATATTATTTTCGCTAATCTATTCGATCTTTTTTTCAAACTTTAATGACGTTTATGTGTCAGGCGGTAACTGTGATCGATTTCATAATATATCATTATCGAATAACATGACTATAACATGGGGAAACTATAACATTATCACATAAACAATATCATGATTATAACATAAAGAAACTATAACAGTATCATGTAAACTGTAACATGACTATAACTCGAAGACACTATTATGATATAAACTATAATATGTCTATAACATAAAGAAGCTATGACATCATCACATAAACTTATAACATGGCTATAACATTGTTAAATAAACTATAACATGATTATGAAATAAAGAAGCTACAAGAAGCTATAACATTATGACATGAACTGTAACATAACTATAACATGAAGAAGCTTGACATAAACTATATGTCTATAACATGAAAAAGCTATTATGTCACAAACTATAATGTGTCTATAACTTGAAGAAGCTATGACATCATCACATAAACTTATAACATGGCTATAACATTGTTAAATTAACTATAACATGATTATGAGATGAAGAAGCTACATGAAGCTATAACACTATGACATGAATTGTAACATAACTATAACATGAAGAAGCTTGACATAAACTATATGTCTATAACATGAAGAAGCTATTATTACATAAAGTATAATGTGTCTATAACTTAAAGAAGCTATAACATCATCACATAAACTTATAACGTGACTATAATATTATCCAATAAACTATAACCTGATTATAACATGAAAAAACTGCAACATACATATGCCACATATGTTTTCAATTAACATACAAATTATTATTGAAAGTGAGTTAGGTTTACTTGAGAGGGTGCAATAAAAATTTGTCTTAAATTCTGTGGTTCTAAATGGAAGAGGATTATAACATGAAGAAACTGCAGCATACATGTGCAACATATGTTTTCAATTAGCATACAAATTGTTATTGAAAGTGAATTAGGTTTACTTGAATAAAAATTGATCTCACATTCGGTGGTTCTGAATGGAAGAGGAGATACATAAGAGTATCGAAAGGGAGCAAATCACTTTGGTAGGTCAGTTCATATCGGCCGCTAGCGTATTTGGTTATCAATCGGAAACACGTCAAGATAAGATATCGGTTCGCAAACGTTATCATCCAGCTCGTGGGTGTGACGAAACTGGCTGATATTTCTTTTTACCGAAACGCCGGCGTTTAACTCAGGCATCATTACTTTTATCGGCAAATCTTAAAGATCGTTTCAGTCGAACGCAACGTGTCGCGGTGATCGTGTCGACTTCATTCTGATACACGCTGTTCTCCTATCATCAGCAATACTTCACTCCCCACGGTGAAAACAATCGTCTCGAATAAAATCAACGATTCGAACTGCATTTTTATACAATATACGGTTTGTGATCGTGAAATATAGTAAATGCAAGAGTTTGTACGATGAAACTGATGTTGCAAGTGTAAGTTTCAGTGGTGTTTTTTTAACGTTAGTGGACACCAATATTATAAATTCGGTTAAATTGATTCTGTGCTTGAAAGCCATTTTTTTACCTGTTAGGACAAGAGAAAAATAGGAGAAATATTTTTCGAAACTGAGAAACAGAAATTAATCTGTATTTCACTTATTACGTTACTGCGTGTCTGACCACATACGTCAGTTTCCACTGCGACACATGTCAAGTGTGTCTCCTAACCTCAGTAGTAAAAATTCTGAAAACTGCAATAAAAGTGTGAAAAATAAGATGCTGAACTTATCTTATAAAGTAGTAATGATTTCAGTGAGTGTTGAAATTGCAAAAGAAGACTATAGTGAATAATGTTTTGTTGATAGATCGATGTGGAAGCCATGTTACCGGATCGGCAAAACGGATCGCGAGAAATCGATGTAGAACCGGGAGAATCAGATCAGCTGGACACAATTCGGAGCTAGTGAAATCGAACGGGAAATCGTTGGCCAACAATCGAGGATCGACACACGTGGTCGGTCCTGTCGCTTCCACCCTACGGCCTTCCCGCTGGCGTGGCCAGCTACTATGCGAATTGAAGTTCTCAGTACCCTCGTCGCGGTAAGTTTTCTTTTATTATAATAACGTATTACAATATGTGACAACTCTTCTTTCCCATGAACAAAGTTATCAACATCAATCGATGATAATTTGTGATAACTTGTGAAAGTGACAAAAGTGAATTTGAAAAAGATGGTTTAACATCCAATAACATACCAAAATAACCAACAATAAATATCTACCATAATGAATAATAATTTAAACAGTAACAGCCTTGATTTAGTTAATTAATCTAATAATTTGATACGTTACGGTTATTTAATACGTTTAGATTTTGAAGCATTCCTCAGCTACAAATCAGTGAATTCATAATCATGTCTTTCAAAAACTAGTTAATAAAAAGTGTTGCAACACGCCACAATCTGGAAAAAATGCAGATTTACAAGTATGACATGTGTGGCACACTTTTTTTCATTTAATGACACCACACGCATAAATTATTACCTATACGAATACGTAATAAATTACGAGCTATAAAACTTTATTTGAACCGAGTCAGATTTTATTGACTGAACAATCAACGAAAATCATCGTTTTCGGTAGAAATTTATATACCCGTGTTACAGAAAGAGTAATGAAATTTTATTACGATAATCCTATCTCTACATGTTTTAATCTATATAATTCTATGGTACTAATTTTCGAGCGTAAAATGAACAGCCAGGTATTACATTCTCCAAGAATGTGAATTCTTGTTCACGAAACATAGGTGTTTAACAGGTGTTTAAACAACGTTCCCGTAAATCTAGTTTATTGCAACAAGAAACATGCAATTGTGCACACGTTGTGACATTGTATGTCTGAAATGCCAACATGAATGATAATCGCGATAAGTTGGCTGGATCTAAATCATAGCCCATATAGAGTGGGTGTAATTACCATATTGTCCTCATGTGCTTTTCACAACCTACAAGAGTCGTACAGGTAAAGGGCACCTTTCAGACCGTGAGACAATATTGTACACGTTGTCAGGTTCATTCCAAGCACATGAAATAACTAATTTTATAATTTCAACATTCTATATTTTCTTTTGAACCACTTTCAACATGTTTTATTATTAGCGGATATTTATGCATTTATAATATACCAGAGTCTATAAAATAAATTGCTGATCTTATAGATAATGTTTACGTATGTTTTACACAGCTTGGCAATCATAAATAATGCAATCTATTTATTATACTATAAAATTGAGATCAGGGCTGAATGATTAAACTTTGTGCTTTGAAGAAATACATGTATGAAGAAGACCTGAAGGATCCAAACAATAATGGTTTCACTAATATTTCAAATTATATGCAGTCATATTAAGTAACAATAAATCTAGAATATTGTTTATGTACCAAAGAAAACCAGCTTTCGAATGTCCTCGACATTCGATTATAATTTCCAAGCGTGATCGCTGATACCCAATAGATCAATGACTTCCGTCGACGAAAATCCCCATTCCACGATCTTTCAAGACTTTAATGCTTCTTTTACGAGCAACGAGAAATGATCTGTCATAAACCACCGCGTAAACAGGCGAACGCGAGTTACAACCGTATAAATCAACGCAATATTTGCCGCGTAATATTATTTGTACAGTACACGATATTACTACCGGTTCTTTATTATTTTGTAACATAATTCAATTAACATGTGGTTGTTACTTTATGCACGTGTAGGTGAAATATTATTTCAGGCCGCGATAGCCGAAGTTATATCACCTTTGATAAGTATCTGCTTTCTTGTTTTTCGAATGGATTTACCTGTAAATAAAAATCTCGCGTGCTACAGTTATATCGAGAAGGAAAAGATATTAATAAAATTTGTATAAAAAATTGATACAACTAACCAATATTTAAATTCGAGACGAATCGTTTATAACTCATCGAACAGGTTATTAATATAAAATTTAATATCGATAGGGAATTACATATCGGTCACGATACTTCGCAGATTGGAATATTTATTGGGATATATGAATGTAAAGTGTTTATTTGGAGACTCGGTTGATAAAGACTGTGACATAACAGCACAATAACTGCGATAAAAATTGTTTTAATACCGTAACACTTTCACTATTTTTAGCATTCCTCGTTGAGAGATTTAATGAGATTATGGGAGGGGGAGAGTACTATTTCAATCAAGATACGATGGATTAGAGCGCGAGCTTCGAAAGCCGTTTAACGTCGCGGTTATTCGGTCGGCGGCGTTGCAGGAATATCAGGAACGCATTGATTTTTTCGTCGAAGACAGATTACCGTCGGTGCAAATTAATAATCTAGCCTTTCACCGCGTGATTTCCAAGGCGATTTACAGATCTCTACGCATAGATCGTAATATTACGTGTTGCGAGGAACGCGACGATACCTCGAATCGGCGCCGGATTGGAATTGATCCCAATCGAAAGTCTTTAAAACTAGTCTAGCCGTTGCTAGATGACATAATTGAACCAACGAACAATCAGCAGATTCTATCTCGAACTGTGACACAAATCACCAAGCAACTTTTATAAAAATTCTGTTCGTTGCTTAAAATTGAGAACCTCGATATCGTAAACAGCTGTGATGACCCGCTCGATTAATAAATTTGATTGAATGATGTAGGCATAAATATTGCACGATCACTTATCACTTTCAAAATTATCGTATAATGATCGAACGGAAAGAAATTTATTGCTATGATCGTATCTTTATTTATACATTTATTTACGCAGGTAAAAATCATCTCTTGATGGCCGACACTACTGATTTAAGCCTGTACCTATTTAGAAATGAAATTCATTAAAAATTGTAAGATATGTGACATCTTTAGATATGTAGTTATATAAAGACATAAATATTTCTGAACGCATGATATTATAAGACACTTATAAATAAGATATCGAACATTCTTCCCTTCTTATCGTGCTGCCAATTGTTCTCATAATTTCGATTATTAACTAACATTACTTTGACACTTTTGAGAAGATGCTTTAGAAATAAAAAGTGGTCTCTAGATTTTATTGAAACCTTAATTTTTAGCAAAAGTTGCAGCAAGATTTAAGATGTCTGAACAATTTTAAAAAGCTTACAGTTTATTTTATGATACACATGGTATACAATTTAAAAGAGTATGAGAAATTTAAGAGATCAATTTTAACAGGAATATAGCTTATGATATTATACGATATGATCAATCTCTCAAAACTACCAGCAACTTAAGAAAATTTCTAGCATTCAAACATTGGTGTTATTGCATTTGTGAATTCTTAAAATACTCATTTCCTTATTTACACACTTCGTTATCACAGAGTCGACCATTTAAATCTCGGAAGCTGTTCCTTATTATCGATTAATCTAGCTAGTTAACTGTAAGATCTGCGTTTTCCGTTTCGACACCGTTGTCGAGAATGAAAAGCTATTACCCATCTGATCCCGCGATATATACGAGCTAATTAGATTTAAAGCTTCCTATTTCGCACCTCGAATAATCTGTACCGCTACATCGCGTCAACTTTCCTTCGATCAATTTCTGGCCGGAAGTGAGCCTCGATGTTCCCAAGTTGCGCTTGGCCGATCTTCGATCGATATCCCCATTAATTGGCCTATATCGCATACCAGTTTTATCCGAACAACATTATGTGCTGACGTACGAATATCCTCTGGTCGATTAATGCCGCCTCGCGATGTTGTCCCGTGATATTGATAAATGATAATTGTCGTTGGCAACGAGACTCGGCATCGCGTGTAACGCGGAATAATTTAATAATGGCAGATTAGCAACGCGAGCAGACAGGGGATACCGGGACAGGGAAATCGTGGCGACATTAATATGGTAATCGTTTTACCGGCGCCAATGCTTCCAATAAATAATTCTCTTAACTCGACTATCCGCTGCCTCGTTTGCTACCGTTACCAGGGACGGCCTGATTATGCGATACTGGGTGATCTTTTGATACACCCTTGCTAACTTTTGTCCACGAAAAAGTAGGAAGTAGTAACCAAACTTGTGTACTTGAAAAAATTTCTAAATATACAAATTTTTAGGTTGAGAAATTTTCCAAACTTCCAAATCTCACAAATCCTCAAGTTTCTAAATTAAAGAATGTTCAAATCCCTAATTTGCAACAGTCGATATCTCTAAGTCTCTAACCCTAACTGTCTAAATCTCTAACTTCCTAAATCCTTAACTTCCTGAATCCCTAACTCCTTAACTTCCTGACACCTTAACTCCTCAACTCCCTAACTCCACAACTCCCCAACTCCCTAACTCCCTAACTCCTCAACTCCCTAACTCTCTAATTCCCTAAATCCCTAACTCTCTAAATACTTAAGTCCCTAAATCCCTAACTCTCTAAATACTTAAGTCCTTAAATCCCTAAATTCCTAAATCTCTAAATCTCTAAATCCTTAAATCCCCAACTCCATACCTCCCTAAATCCCTAAATCCTTAATTCTTGAATTCCCAAATCTCCAAATCCCAATATCCGCAATTCTCAAATTCCTCAAATCACCAGATCATAAATTTTCCAAATCCCAAATTTCACAAGTTCCCAAATTTCCAAATTTATAAATATCCAGATTCTAAATCCCTAAATCTCCATATCTCCGAATCCCCAAATCGCACAAATCCTCCAAATCCTCCTGCACATTTTGCAAACGCCGTATAAACATGTTCACTCAAACAAAGAAGAACATCGAACGGTTGCCCCGATCAATCGATAAATCGCTCGAAATGCTATACATATTTCATTTCTAGTCGTGCCGCGTGTATCATTATCGGGGATCCAGGATTATTTTGTTGGCGTTGTTAAAATTACCGGAGTGGTTGCAGGATGAGCAAACTCGCGATGCTTCTTGCAGACGTTCTGGTGATAAGGAGTGATTAAGTGTAACTATTGATACGTGGTAGTGATCGTAAATCTGAGCTTGTTGGTTAATTTGCAACGGAATGAAATACGACGGTGAATAGGGTTTAATTCCTGTATCGTGCATGTGATCCCGTCCTCGAGAGAGGTGTAATTTTGTACTTTC